TTATTTATTTATTTATTTATTTATTTTGATCACAGTAAATTTAAATAAGAAAAGCCAAGTAATCAATCTTTGTAAGTTTGCAGATAAATATACATATTCACAAATAAACTATGTTTCAAAAAATCAATATGGACAGTTTTTTTAAATAAATCAAATTGAATTAAAGTAAAAAGAAAGAAAATAAAAATAGAACATATAAATTAGAAACTATACAACAGAAAATGAATGAAGTCATTCTTTTAAAAGAATAATAAGTGATGAAACTGTAGCAAAACTGATCAGAAAAAATGAGTAAAAAACAAATTACTAATACCATAAATGAAAATACCATTAGAGTTTCTATCACTATTAAAAAGTTTATAGGATGAGAACTTAGCTGACAGAAAAAGTTCCTTTATATGGAAATTGGACAGAGCAACAAGACTTACCAAAACAAGTACAAACAAGAATATCCAAATATTTCTAAACATGCAGAGAGGCTGAATTTATAATGATAAAACATATCCTAAAAGAAAACACCAGGCTTCTATGTTTCTCTGGTAATGTCTTCCTGCTATATAGGCAATAAGAAATATCATTTGAAGATTCTTTCAGGAAGAAAAGGAAAAGAAAAACTGATTTTATGGAACTGCTGAAACACTGATCTCAAAACCTGAAAAGGACATTGCAAATAGAGATAATTACAGGTTAGTGTATCTTATGCCAGAAAAGCCAAAATTCTATAGAAAATATTTGTAAGCATAAAGAAGGGCTTATTCTAGGAATAGATGGTAGTTTTAATGGACCTAACAAGGGAAAAAGAATATAATTATCATAAGAGATGCAGAAAATATCTATACATTTTAATATCTAATAGTGATAAAAACTCAGCAAAGTACTTATAGAATATAAATACAATATAGCTAATGTAATAATGTTAAGAAGATAACCAACATTACCACACTCATGCTTGATTTGGAGGCAAGATGGGAATATTCACAGTAACCACCTCTATTTGAAATTATACAGCAGATCCTAGGCAGCACATACAGTCTAGGAAAAACAGTATTAGCCCTCAATAGTGAGCATTTTTGTTTCTGTACATTTGTCAACAGACACATTCATCTCTAAGCAGAAGTCCTGGGACATGAGCCAGGCACATATTCACCTTAATGCCAGACAGTTCTCCAAAGTGCCTGCATCATTTTCATCTACTTTTAGAAATGTATGGGTAAATTATTTTGTTCATTTGGGTTCCACATATAAGTGAGATCATGATAGGAGACTCAAGAGTTGGAAGATTTTAGTTTAAGTAAATAGTTAATAAGTCTAGTAGGTAATGCCTGTGTTAAAGCTTTTGTTTCAGAAACTACAGATAAGGCCCATCCTGGTTCCTGGGAGGGACAGCCAACCTCCTGGGGCACTGCTAAAGACCATTGCCTGGGGACAAGTGGAGGCATCCACCCATTGTGTTCCAGGGAGGGACAGACAACCAGTTGCCCCCGGAACAGCTAACTGCCCAGAAGAGAATGCTGCAGTTTCTTTCACCTAATTCTTCCTGAATTTCAAAACCCCTCACCGCACTTTGTTTATTCTCTGTTATAGCAAACGTTGGCCTGGAAAGAAATTGTAAGACAATTTGTTTTAGGGTGCAAACCTGCTGTCTTCACAGATTTCCCAACCTCTGAATAAAGTGCCCATAAAGATTCAATTCCTATCTCTGCTTATTGGGTTTAAGAGGCAGCAAGAATGCAGGTGTCTTTTCCATTTTCAATCAGATGGTATTTGTCTTTCTCAAACTGACTTATTTTGCTTAGCATAATGCTCTCCAGGTCCATCCAGACTGTGGAAAAAAGCAAGATCTCCTTTCTTTTTTGTACCTGAGTAGCAGTATTCCATTGTGTAAAGGTACCATGGCTTTTTCCCCCACTCATCTCCTGATGGGCACTCAGGCTGTTTCTGGATCTTGGCCATTGTAAATGACCCTGCAATGTGACGGGATGCATATTAACAAATATATGCCAATTCTTTTTAAATAATACTAATAAAATTTTTATGTGTAAAATTCAATTACAGAACTATAACTATTCTAAATATAATACTTTTATTCAATGTCAGTTTTATTTAATATCACTTTTGTTACTAATGAAGCCATTAGGTCTTGATTTGGGGACACATTTAGGTATCTAATGATTGCTAAGAAAACTTCTTTAAAAACATGCCTTTAAACATGATATTGCATGTACTTCAAAGAAATAATAGACCTATTGAAGATAAAGGACCTGATATGTACTTTTTGAATGTAATTCTTTGCTGTTTTCTTTTCAACCGAGTTTCTACATACATAGCTTTTATGTAATTTTTGTACTTAATTTATAATTTTCTAGGAGAAAAAATATTGGTCTGAGTTTTTAAACTCTTTATATTAATTATGCATATTTCTTATATAATTCTTTATATATAGATTGGGAATCAATTATATGTTTTAAAAGAAACACAATGCACCAGATACTTGAAATGCTATAGGCCTTTTACAATAATATCACAATTTGGCCTAACATATGCTTAGAATATAAACTAGTTCTTACTTCTATCACCTGCCCCATTAGCTTATAATTTAGGGTTTTAGGAAATTTGCACTTAAGGGAAAATTATTTCATTTTTTAGAACAAAAAATAAAGAATGTAAGAAAACAGTATGAAATATTGCTACCCGAATCCCTCATCATTAATTTTAGGGTAAAGGCAAAAATCCCCAAATGTTCTGTCAGCAAACACATGCTAGAATGAAGAAGTAAACATTCAAGAGATAGACATCCATGTTCAGTCAAGTCAGTCTTGTGGAAGCAATAGATTTAATGTTCTTTTCTGCCATTCTCAAAACCCAGGGAAATAAAGGAATAGCATTGCTTTCATCAGGTCTTACTGTACTACCTGAAATGCTATGTATGTTTGGGTTTTGATTTTCCCTTGTATGTGTGTGTGTGTGTGTTTCTATGTGGCCCATATCATGTGTTCTGAAAAGCACAAAGCAGGCATGATTAGTAATTCTCATTGCATTTTTTCAGAGACCTTATAGTCTGTTTTTTACTTATCCTTGCCCCATATTTTCTTCTACATATCAGGACATTCAAGAAATTAAATGTCTTAAGGGAACCATTAAATTCTTGAGATTTTCTTAAACCCCTAAAGAAGCACACAGGAACTACACACATTCAAAATACCCTTTTAATCAGAAGATTACCTCCAGGGACCCTACTCCCCTTAGACTAAGGTAAACACAGAACTGAATGTGTTATCTGAATCTATCTTCTGAGATGATTGTGTTTGGATCATCTCGTGCTTGCTTTCTCAACTTGGAGGTTACTCCTTTGATTTCTCATATATTAAAGATGAAGCTGGAATTTCAATTCTGTTACCTAAAACATCTATCATTCACTTAATTTTTGAATGACTATAAACATCAGATACATTGAACTGTTGTTTTATGTTTTGTTTTTGTCTTTGTTTGGGAGGTAATACATAGAAATAAACCATGGGAATGAGAGATTATGAGGTTCTTCCATGAGCTAAGGTGTTGGATACCTTTTCTTCCTTTGGTAAGTTCTATTCCCTTACTTGAATATCCCATGCACATACATCTTGCATATTAGTTAAAAATATAAAAAAAATACCCATAAAGATGGGAAAGAAAGATAATGCCCAGATTGTAATCTGATAAACACTTCAAATGATGAGGAGTGGGAGCAATTTGTAATTTGGTCACTTATTCCTACTCCTCATCCTAAATTATTTCATTTTCTACATGAACATCAAAACTGGTATGCAACTTCTAATGGGACAATGGAAAAGCAATGTTTTAATTCAGTTTTAAATATCCTTTCCTAAAGGATTCATTGCAATCCATCATAACTACATATTTGCTTGGGGATTACTCACCCGTCAGCAACTAAGTCTAACACAGGCATCTGCTCATTGATTATTGTGGTAATCTGGCAATGGGTTCGTTCATGAGTTTTACTTACTGTCCTCAAAAGTACTGTCTATGTCTCATAAGTGAATAGATGAACCCACCCAAATCATCATCCTTTATTTCATGGAGGTAAAGCTACCCTACTGTAAACCATTTAAAGTATTTGTTTTTATTTTGGTATAAATGTGAAAATATAGTTAAGTTATTCAGATAAAATGAAATAAAAACCAAATTTGCATTGACTTAGTAGGAAGGACATTGCATATTATAAGAAATGGATTTCAACATAAAAAAATACTATGAGGAAGTACCTATACATTTTAAAGGTTTGTTTTATTTTATGGGTTTGCTCTGCTTTTTCTCAGAAAAAGTTTAGACTCTGTTCCCTGAGTTTCCAGTGTGATAATTTCTGTTGGACATGAAAGACCAATTGTAAGCTCTTGTTATTCTCTCTGCTTCATATCCCAGCTCAGAGTGCCCTCTCCCTTTTCCCAGTGGGCAGTCTTCTCCAAAGCCAATGCCTCTGGCTGTTTCCTAAGGATGGCTCAGAGATGGTGGAAGTCAGGACCCTGCCTTTCATTACATCAAGTTTTAAAAATGTGGAGTATCAACAAAACAGAAATGCATACGTCAAATATCTTGCTTTAAGTGCCACAGTACAGTTTATTCTTCCATCTTGGTATATTTGACATCAAGTACTTTTAAATCCAAAATGGGGAGTTCAAAAGAGTTTCATGGCAACATAGATTAAAATTTCAACTTTGAATAGTGTGCTTTCTAAACTGGATTTCTTTACACAGTTTAGAATAAAATTTATTCATTTCCTGCCCCTTTCTCATTAAAACTAGCATTTTAAATGCACCCTGAAGCTAGAATGCTAATGTTTGCCTTTTTCTTCATGGAATTTCCTTATATAACAGGCAAATCAGCACTGCCTGAAAAGACTAGGGACTTTCTAGTTAAAATTTTCCAACTTTATAGATGAAACAACCAGAGCAGAGAAGTCAAGAACTCATGCCACACAAGCTAGTTAGGGACTATAAGTAGTCTGGATGGTGCAGAATGAATATTTTCCATTTATTCCCATCTTCTGATCATTAACAGGTTTCGAGAAAAAAAACCACATGGCTGATGTTAATTTTACAATGGTTACTGAATTTATCCTTTTGGGGCTGACAGATCGTGCTGAACTGAAAGTGTTCCTCTTTGTGTTGTTTCTGCTCATCTATACGATTTCTTTGGTGGGGAATCTAGGAATGCTCTTTCTAATCCATACAACTCCCAAACTTCAAACACCTATGTACCATTTCCTAAGCTGCCTGTCATTTGTTGATGCCTGCTGTTCCTCAGTCTTTGCACCCAAAATGCTGCTGAACTTCTTTGTTGAATGGGATACAATTTCTCTTTCTGCATGCATTGTGCAGTATTTTGGGGGGGCATCACTCGTTACCACTGAGGGTTTCTTGCTGGCAGCAATGGCATATGACCGCTACATGGCCATTGTGAACCCTTTGCTTTATACAGGGGTGATGACGAAAAGAATTTGTGTTGCCCTGGTCATTGGATCATGTGTAGGAGGTTTAATCAACTCACTGACACACACAATCGGCTTGGTAAAATTGTCTTTCTGTGGGCCCAATGTCATCCATCACTTCTTCTGTGACCTTCCCCCACTGTTGAAGCTCTCATGTTCTGATACATCCATGAATGAATTGTTGGTATTAATCTTCTCTGGAGTTATTGCCATGATCACTTTCTTGACTGTGATGATCTCCTACATCTTCATCATTGCTGCTATCCTGAGGATTCGCTCGGCAGCAGGGAGACACAGAGCCTTCTCCACGTGTGGGTCACACTTCACAGCTGTGACTTTGTTCTATGGCTCTATAAGTTTCAGTTACATTCAGCCAAGCTCCCAATATTCCTTAGAACAAGAAAAGGTGGTATCTGTTTTCTATACCCTTGTCATTCCTATGTTAAACCCATTGATTTATAGCCTGAGAAACAAGGAGGTGAAGGATGCAGTGAAAAGGGCTATAGAGATGAAATGTTTTCCTTGTTAACTTTATACCATATGTGTCCTAAAGTAATATACAAATAAGTGCTTTTGAAAATGATATCTCTATGAATTTATTAAAACTTGGATCCCAAAGGAATCTTAAAGTTTATTTAAATGGAACCCTCTGTTTTACAGTAGAAGAAAAAGACTACAAGAATTACATGTTACAGTACATATACCTGGTCATTGTGTAAACTAACCTAAAAAGTATATGAAGATCTAAGTTAGTTATGTCTGGACAATTGTTGACATTTTAATTCTTGCATATGGGTAGAAATGAACATATATAAAAAGATATCTAGACACAAAACACAAAGATAGAGAGATACAAACAAAATTTATAAATGAAATATATTTTAGCTTGGTCTCTTTGTTGCACAGAAAACAAATAGAATACTTTTCAAGGAAAAAATACCACATTGAGTTGTTCACCAAAACTGATAGATGCATGATCTTGAAATTAGCCTGTACTCTTTCAGTCAGATATTGTTCAAAAGAAATCTAAACACTGGATGACACTCCAGAAAAAGAACTTGGTACTAGATTACCTCCACACTCACAGTAGTCTAAGTCAGCAGTCCCCAATATCCCCCCTCCCAGTCCCTGGATTCTGCTGGCATTACTGCCTGAATTTTGCCTCCTGTCTCCCTCCCACCCCAACCTCAGTCTGTGGAAAAATTGTGTTCAGTGAAACTTGTCCCTGGTGCCAAAAAAGTTGGAGATTACAGGTCTAAACCATTTCCATATTCCTGGACCCAGTTTACATTACCACACATGCAACTGAACAGGATGGAATGCCACTGTTTTACCATTTCACGTGAAAGGGCCACTAATTCTCAGATAAAACTTAGCCTGAAAAATTTTAGAAAGGGTGCCTCCATGATATTAGGGAATCATTAATAATCAGATGAATTTCCTCCTTTTCTTTAAGGATTTTTCCAATATCTTAAAGAATATTTTAAGGATATTCTTTAGACATTAAACAGAAAATTTCCTGAAGGTATTCTAGAGAGGAGAAATATGTGAAACCAATTGTTTTCCCTATGATTCAAACTATACATGCAGGTAGAAAAGGTATAGTCAGCCCATAATTACTGATCATTCCATGGTAATCTTTTTTCCCTAACTTGTTGTAAAATTTCCTATCTGGAAAATAAATATGATATACTAGAGGACATCTTCATTTACAAATAAAATTAAGTTTAATTTTTGGGGTTTGCTTTAAATACTGAAATAAGTACAGGTCAATAAGCTAAGCAGCACAGTGTGACAGCTCAATGCTCTATAAATATTAACTCATGGATTTACATAGCAGCTAGACTGAAATTCTTTTCTCTCAGTGACAGCCAAAATCAAATAAATGAATGGTTCCCATATCTGTGAAGGGAGCAAACAAAAACACATATTATATTAGAAAACTATGCAAAGTAATTCATATAAAAGTTTGCCTCTTAGAATGAAAAAATAACATCACCATCACCAATGCTGAGAGCATCATATAACATTCATATAGCTCTTCTTGATTTTCTAAGATCATTTAATATGTTATTTGAAAATTGGGCCCATAAAACTATATATATATGACTTTTATGTATGGTACATTCATGCAAATACGTTTGTATGAAAATTTGTATTTTAAGAATAAAATACAAATATAATAATAATGATAATTAGTAAATATGGTTTTATATAGTTAGTCACACTTTTCAAAAGCATTCAATATCTTATATTTTTGAGTATGAAACACAAGGAATAATATACAATCAAGTTGATTAAAACTCAGGAAAATAAATCAAAGTGTAATTTTAATAAATTCTCTTACAATATACACTCTGTAAAAGAAGGGTCTGGCCCACAGGGTGCAGATAAAGTAATAGTTTATTAAGTGTGCATGTCTGAGAGAGGGCATTATTTTATGGAAAAAGTGTGTAGGTTTTTTTCAAATACTGACCTTAAACTTGTACTAAACTTGTATTATACTATTATATAGGAACTGGATGCTAAAATGAGAAATAAATTCTTTCTTCCAGGCGGAGAAGTTGTAGGGGAAGTTGCAGGCTGGAAATTGAAAAAGTAATACACCCTACATTCATATTCTGAAAGCAAATGAAGCTCTGTCAAGAAGATTCAAAATGTCCTTAAATGACAAGTATAATTACTCCATAGGAAATAAATGAAGACTTTTTCTATAAAATATCTGATGTAATGCCATCAATTGTCATGTGCAGAGATAAGGGTTGAGAATGACACTTGTAGCTCCAATTCCCTCACTTCTTACATAAAATTGGTTACTGTTCAACCTCAACACTGGAGAAATCAGGACTCAGTAGAGGTCTGTCTCACAAAGTTTTCTTCTGAACTCTCAGAGAATCTGTATCAAATATGTGTCCATTTTCTATTTCATGTGTGCAGCCTTGGGGCTTGTGATTTGGAAACTGGCCTGGCTCATCAGGAAAATGAGTTGCTGGTAGCATGAGGGTTGGGTGTGGCTCCATCTGCATGGTGGGGAGGTTTGACACTTACTGAGAAGAAACCCATAAGCCAATGCAACGAATTGACATTCCTAAGATTTGAGATTTGGTCTTGTTCTGTGAGCACACAATGATTATATAAACCGAAGCTTCAATGACAGTTTTCAGTTGTCCTCAGTCAAATTGGCCTCTGGACAAATTCAAACTCCCAGAATCATGGGCACCTAAGGATCATACTGCCATCCCATCTAATCCATACTCTAATATAAAATAGTCCCTACAATACTCTCATGGTTGTCTACATTCCCTTACAAAATCAGCATTTATTAAATTTTACCAATTCTATGATCACTTTTTAAAATTTAAGCAAGACATGAATCACTCCTTAGAGTTTATGTCAATTGGTCTTACATGTCTTATGAAGTCTTAGAATTCACATATTCTCATTCTTCATTCTTAGGCTCCTGACATGTTAAGTTTTTGCTAGAATATGATCCTGAGTCAAATTTTTTGTCACTCTGGGTATTTCCTAACATTTCCACTATTCTTTATGCAGTATGGTTTCAAATCCTATTACGTTCACTCCTTACTGTGTCAATGTCAAAAGGCTGAATGGAATAAATGGTGAAAGACCACAGATTTTTAAATCACAGAAGTATTGTATCAAAATTATTGTTCTAGCACTTCCTAAAGTGCAAACTTAGAGAATTTCTTTAATTATTCTGAGCCACCCATAATATCAATCATATGAATTGGAATATTTAATTAAATAAAAGCACATAATGATTGGACACAACAATTGTGAAATGCCTGGAAAATACTAGGCATTTAGGCATTTAATAAATAGGAACAATTCCAGCTAGGATCCTTCTTTACATTTGATTGCTAAAGGAAAAGGAATACTCTTGTTAATAAAACTAATTATAATATTCCCTGAGTGTTAGTCTCTTTTCATGATTGCTTCATTTTAAAATGATTGTAAATTTTTACCACCTTTTATATCTGTGCATGTTGGTTTGGATGCACCTGACCTAGCTCAGTGACCTATGTGTTGTGATTTGCTTCTCCCCCTTTTTAAAATGTATCCTATTATTTCATCCTGTATTTATTCCCTTTTGTATTTTTAGTCTTTTCTCCGAGAAACAAATGTAGTATTCCTTTTTTTAATATGCATTTTTTAAGATTATTTATTTATTTATTTTTAGAGCTGGGAAGGGAGGGTGAAAAAGAGAGATAGAAATATCAGTGTGTGGTTGCCTCTTAGGTGGCCCCCATTAGCGACAGGGCCTGCAACCCACGAATGTGCCATGACTGGGAATTGAACCTGGGATGCTTTGGTTCACAGCCCAAACTCAGTCCACGGAGCTACACCATCCAGGGCTACCAATGTTGTATTTCTAAAAATTACTTTTATGTTCAGCCAATATAATGACAAAAATGTTGAAACTGATATTTATCCTAGTGTCATAATTGGCTAAATTACCCCTAATATTAAAAGGTAATCTAATTTATGAAAACACACACAAAAATTCTATTCAGTAATTGCTTCCACCTCTTTGGGGTTGTCTCACATTGAAATATTAAATATTTCCCATAATTATTGCCAATAATAGTGTATTTAGGAGCACATGGTCATCACTAAATACAATGAAATAGCACTCTTTAAAATTAAAATTTATGTATGATGGATAATATGCATTTATAATTCTAAATACTGGAAGAGCTAATTTTTAACAGGTCAATTTTTCCTTGTAGAGCCTCATACAAGACAAGAACATCAACAGTTTTCTCTAAAACAGAGAAAAAGCCAAATATGTGAATTGCCACAATTTGGAAAGGTAGCACAGGGCCTTACTTTCCTCAGGCTTCCCTTGAGCTGTGTTAGCAAAACTGAGTGTTCACAGAATTTTGGGGATTTTGTCCTCCAAAGGCCCTAAGTCAAATATGAGCATAAGTCAGAAGAGTAATAGAAAAGACCAGATTTCCTCTCTCTCCAGGTAGGTGTTGTATTTAGTGTTGTAACAAAGAAGTTACAAATGTGTTTCCTGAAAGCTTTTTAAAAACAACAGTTCTCAATACATGCTGTGAGTGGAATGTGCAGTAAACTAATCTGCCTCAAATACATTCCAATTATTGAGATGATTAGTGGCTTTATTCCATATTTCCTCAGTTCTCTATATTTAAAGCTTCATACATCTATCTATGTACATGTAATTATACCAACCACAAGACCTGAATTTACTTAAGGGAATTCTTTAACATCTAAGATTGACTATTACAAACCATTGAATTTTCCTAAACCTGAAGAAAGATTAAGGATTTTTTGGCCCTATTATCAGAGCTAATTATTGGACTCAAAAATTTATTGTATATAACAGACTTTACAGCAAAAGAACACACCATGGGGAATGCAGTCCAGATGAAAATTGTCATTTATTAAATTATGACTAAAGGAAAAAATATAGAATCAGTGAAATAAAAAGTCACCATCAAAGTAAAAAAAATGTTGTGTGCCCACCAGTAAATGAGGGGA